TCTTTACTTTACAGTTTTTATTTTATAACACGTTATCAGCACGAGACTCTGTCGTCTCGAGCAAAACTTTGAAAGTATCAGAGGCACGAACTTTCTTTTTCTAAATAATGTCAAATATTTCTAAACTTAAATTTGTAGCCTTGGATATATTGGGCAAAAGCTACATGTCTTAGGTTCTTGATGCTGAAATTCATCTTGATGCGATGGGTCTAGCAGACACCATCAAGGATAAAAATCAAGCAGCAAACCAAGACCGTGCCAAAGCAATGATATTCCTACGCCATCACCTTGATCAAGGCTTGAAAATGGAATATCTCACTATTAAAGATCCAATCATACTGTGGAATAATTTGAAAGATAGATATAACCACCTGAAGATGGTCGTTGTTCCACAGGCACGTTGTGATTGGACTCATCTAAGGTTACAAGATTTTAAATCTATTATTAAGTATAATTCTGCTATGTTCAGAATTAGTTCCCAATTTAAACTATGTGGTGAGAATATTACTGATCATGATATGTTGGAGAAAACTTTTACCACTTTTCATGCCTCGAATATGCTCATACAGCAGCAATATCGAGAGATGGGATTCAAAGAGTATTCTGAACTTATATCACATCTTCTTGTAGCCAAGCAACATAATGGGCTATTAATGAAAAATCATGAAAGCCGACCTACTGGTTCTTGTCCATTCCTTGAAGTGAGTGAGACGAACTTCCACCAAGCTAAGCGTAGAAGAGGACGTGGCCCCAGTCATGATCATGGTCATGGTCATGGTCGTGGTCGAGGAAGAAACTCTAATCATGGTAATAATAATGCACCAAAGAACCCTCCTCACCACCAGCAGTAGAAAAGGAAGGAACAAAAGCATGAAGCGGTGCAAGTAGCAAAGCCAGAAAATACATGATATAAATGTGGAGGAAAAGGGCACCGGTCACGTACATGTCGTACGCCAAAGCACCTGGTTGAGCTTTATCAAGCCTCCCTGAAGAAGACAGAGAAAAATGCTGAAGCAAATTTTATTTCTGAAGATAATTTAGACTTCATGCATTTGGATGTAGCTGATTACTTTGCACTCCCAGAAGGAGAAACAAGTCATGTAATCGGTAGTGAATCTGTAGAAATGTAAATATTTTAATTTTTGTTGTTTGTAATAGATAGTATGGTTATGTAATTGTTGTACATAAATAAAAGTTATGCTTTGATAATGATGTTTACTATCATATTTATTTTGTTTATGTCATTTTGAAGAATATGGATAATCCTCAAATTATGTTTGGATCAAAGACCAATCATGAAGATATTTGTGTAACTGATAGTGGAACAACCCATGCCATATTCAAATATCAAAAATACTTTTTTTATTTGCATAAGGAAAAAGCAAATGTTTCAACAATTTTTGGTAATATAAGTTTAATTGAAGGCTCCAGAAGAACCACTATATTTTTGTCTAAGGGAACGAAATTTATAATAGACAATGCATTATTCTCCTCCAAGTCCAGAAGAAACTTGTTGAGTTTTATAGATATCCGCCGAAATGGGTATCATGTTGAGACGATAGATGAAATGAATATGGAATATCTTTGTATTACAAAGAATATTTCTAGCGAGAAGTGCATTGTAGAAAAGTTACCAACTTTATCTTCTGGCTTATACTATTCAAACATTAGTATAGCTGAAGCACACTCTATCATAAACCAGAAGTTTACTGATTCAAATATTTTTATGCTTTGGCATGACCGTTTGGGCCATCCTGGATCAATAATGATGAGACAAATTATTGAAAATTCAAGTGTGCATCCATTAAAGAACCTGAAGATTCTTACAAATAATGATTTTTTTTGTAATGCTTGTTATCAAGGCAAAATGATCACTAGACCATCACCAATAAAGGTTGGCGTTGAATCCCCTTCCTTTTTAGAACGCATACATGGGGATATATATATATGGACTTATTCACCCACCAAGTGGGCTGTTTAGATATTTTATGGTCCTAATAGATGTATTTTCAAGATGGTCTCATGTGTGCCTACTATCATCTCGCAACCTGGCGTTTGCAAAGCTATTAGCCCAAATAATTCTATTAAGGGCACAATTCCCAAATTATCCTATAAAGGCTATTCGCCTTGATAATGCTGGAGAATTCTCATCTCAAGCTTTTTATAATTATTGTCTATCAGTTGGGATAAAAGTTGAACATTATGTAGTTTATGTTCATACTCAAAATGGCCTTGCAGAGTCATTTATTAAACGCATGTAATTGATAGCAAGACCACTACTTATGAAAACAAAATTGCCCACTACTGTTTGGTGCCATGCTATCTTGCATGCAACATCATTTATCCATTTAGACTGACACATTATAATAAATATTCTCCGTCACAATTAGTTTTTGGTCATGAACCAGATATTGCCCATCTACGAATGTTTGGATGTGATGTATATGTGCTAGTATCACCACCACAGCGCAGTAAGATGGGCCCACAGAGAAGGTTCGAAATATATATTGGGTTTGAATCACCCTCTATTATTCTCTATCTTGAACCATTGATGGGAGATTTATTTACTGCTCGATTTGCAGATTGTCGGTTTGATGAAGCACATTACCCACAATTATGGGGAGAGATAAAGGAAACCAAAAGAGAAATTGTGTGAAAAGTTTCATCGTTATCTCATTTTGATCCACGTAATGGATGTGGTTACAGCTTATCTGTATACATCTAATGGATGTGGTTATAGCTTATCTGTACGGGTCACTTGATAATGAAATTTATATGAAAATCCTTGAAGGATTTAAAATGCCTGAAGCATATTCAAAATCTCGAGAAATGTACTCAATCAGATTACAAAGATCTTTGTTTAAAGCAATCTGGGCCCATGTGGTATAATCGCCTCAGTGAATATTTGCTAAAAGAGGGTTACATAAATGATGTTATTTGTCCATGCATTTTTATAAAGAAAATGGCATATGAATTTGTTATACTTGTTGTGTATGTTGATGACATAAATCTTGTTGGAACTCCATAAGAGCTCCAAAAGGCAATTGAATATCTTAAGAAAGAATTTGAGATGAAAGATCTTGGAAAGATAAAACTTTGTCTTGGTCTGCAAATTGAACATTTAGCAGACGTGATCTTTATCCATCAATCTGCCTATACAGAAAGGGTCTTAAAATGCTTTTACATGGACAAAGTGTACCCATTGAGTACACCAATGGTTGTTCGATCACTTGAAGTGAATAAGGACCCGTTCTGATCTCCAGAAGAGGAAGAGGAACTCCTTGGTCCTGAAACACCATATCTCAGTGCAATTGGTATACTTATGTATCTTGCTAATGCTATAAGGCTTGACATAGCATTTTTTGTTAATTTATAGCAAGATATAATCTCCTACAAAGAGATATTGGAATGGGATTAAGCATATTTTGCGATATTTAAAGGGAACTCTTGATATGGGTTTGTTTTATGCTAACAAAGGTAGTGCAGATCTTATTGGTTATGCAGATGTAGGTTATTTATCTGATCCCCATAAAGCTCGAACTCAAACCGGGTACGTGTTTACATGTGGAGGTATTGTTATATCATGGCACTCCACAAAGCAATCTATTATTGCTACTTCTTCAAATTATGCTGAGATAACAGTTATTCATGAAGCAAGTAGGGAATGCGTATGGTTGAGATCAGTGATTCATTTCATTCAAGAAAAATATGGTTTGGAATGTGATAAAAGATCTACAATTTTATACGAAGACAATGCTCCATGCATAGCCCAATTGAAGGGAGGATTTATAAAAGGAGATAGAACGAAACACATTTCACCAAAATTATTTTACACACACGATCTTCAGAAAAATGATGACATTGGTGTGCAACAAATCCGTTCAAGTGATAATACGACAAATTTATTTACTAAATCTTTGTCAACTTCAACTTTTGAGAAGATGGTATACAAGATTGGAATGCGGAGACTCAAATATTTGAAATAAGGTTTTCATGAGGGGGAGTAAAATACGCGATGTACTCTTTTTTTCTTACTAAGATTTTTTTTCACAGGGTTTTCCTTATAAGATTTTTTAATGAGGCAGCTAGCAATGCGTATTACTAAATATGTGTACTCTTTTTCCTTCACTAGGATTTTTTTCCCACGGAATTTTTCCTATTAAGGTTTTAATGAGGCACATTATCCTTTAATGAACATCCAAGGGGGGTGTTATAAATATATTATATTATGGATGTTCATTTACTCCATTGTAAATAAGCTTCCTGAAGAAACTTATCCATATGAGACTCCGCCGTAAATATGTTTATCTATTTAGTACTCTATTGGAAATAAGCCTCGTGAAGAAGCTTATCATTTTGGTACTCCGTTATGGCTAAACATTATCCCAATAGAAGATTATCTATATCTGGTACAGTAGCAGCTTACACAGCAGCTTGCAATAGCAGCTTACACAGCAGCTTACAAGCAGCTTGCAATAGCAGCTTACAAGCAGCTTACACAGCAGCTTGCAGTAGCATCTTACACAACAGCTTCTTTTCTTCTATAAATAGAGGAGTTTACAGTTCATTATGTACATAAATTTGAAGTTTGAATAATAAATCAGTTTCTCTCTATACTTGTCTTTACTTTGCAGTTTTTATTTTATAATATTAGGCTACTTATTATGGAGGAAAAAAAGTATTCCTAATAAAAGAATAAGGGAAAATAAGGAGAAATTCAGGAAAACGGTCAAAAGAGAATTGTAATCCTAACTTTAGAGAGGTGCCATGTCATGTCAGCACCTCTTTATCTCTCCTTTATATATTTATAATATAATATAGATATATAATAAGGATATTAGATAGAGTATGTTAAAAGTGACGGTTTTCATCATTATGATTCTACAGCTACAACAGTATTAGTGTTGCTATCTTTCTACAAGTTCCAAAGAACCCTATATATAGCCTAGCTATAGGGCAACATTTCCCCATAATCACCTCCCTCGATCTATTAAGTAATAACCAGTCTTTTCTTCTCCCCCACACAACTCTCTCTCTTTGTCATTTCCTATGGCTGTTACTCGTACTCAACTGGACACTCTTCTGGACAAGAAAGTCCTGGAAACACTTATCAACGATCTCGAAGTTTCGATAACTAATTCCCAAAATGTACATGATTTCACTACAATTTCGAGGAGAGTAACTGAGTTGGTTACAGAAACAGATGAAGCAATAGAGGATGTGCACTGGAAAATAACAAAAGAGAGGATGTTCCCATCTCCTAATAATGGGAATCTTCATCAAGATTTGAAGGAAAAAACGATCTATGCAGGAGAAGGGACGCCCTGGATAAAACCAAAGTTGAATCTAATAATCCAATGTTGCGTTACTGAAAGGTTTGACCAATTTCATTCTTTTGCATGAAATGTTTTGCATGTTTGAAAGTTTTTAGCATTCTTGAATTTTTTTTTTCCATTCTTGAAATTTTGTGAATTCTTCAGAGATTGGTAAATGTCGATATGGCTATATTCACTGATCGATCTAATATTTCAGGATATTCTTTTTGACGTATAAGGGAAATTAGTAGTGTAATTGTTTGCTAGTACGTAGATACGGTATGCATTTTCTCTTTCACCCAGTCTTAAGGTTTGATTAGATCATTCTTTTGCATTTCTTGATTGAAAGTTTTAGCCTTCTTGAAATTCTGGTAAATGTCGATATGTCTAATATTTGAAGACCTTCTTTCTGATTTTTAATCGAAAGTAGTATAATTGTTTCTTTTGCATATATTCTTGATTGAAAGTATTAGAATTCTTGGAAGTTTTGTGAAATCTCCAAATTTTTCTAAATGTCGGTTGGTATGACTTAATTATATTTCCTGATCGATCTAATATTTCAAGATCTTCTAATTTCTTTCTGACGTTTAATGGAAAGTAGTATAATTTTTTGCCGTTGTTTAAACATATCAGGAACTTCATATTGTTGGCTTTTCTCTTTACACTTTCTAAAAGTTTTCTTCTCTCAGACGAATAACCATGGCAACTATCCAATCGGTTAAGGCCGGTCAAATCTTCGACAGCCTTGGTAATCCTACTGTCGATGTTGTTGTATGTCTTTCAAACGGTGTATTAGCCATAGCTGGTGTTCCATGTGAAGCTCGTTAACAATGTCAACACAATTATTGGCCCCTCACTTATTGGCAGGAACCCAACTGATCAGACCACTCTTGACAACTTGATGGTTCATGAATTAGATAGAAATCAAAAACTAGATGGAAGTGCTACCCTTGCTCTGTCACTTGCGGTCTGCAAAGCTGGATCTTATGTCAGAAACATCCCGTTATACAGGCACATCTCAGAACTTGCTGGTAACACCAAGTTGGTGTTACCTATACCGGCCTTTCATGCGATAAGCTGTGCGGAAGATCACAAAAATGAATATATGANTATATATATATATATATGTATGTATGTATATGTATGTATGTATGTATGTATACTAATTCCGAATCAAGTAATATTATGATTTATAAAAATAATATTAATATTCTTAAAATAAAATTTTAAGTAAATAATTATACAATAAAAATAAAGTACAAGTTTTATCTATCTATATTATTATAAAAGCACGAATATAATATTTTTAAAATATTGACTGACTTTTATACCCTTAAATAGTTAAATAATTTACTAGAAGATATCAGACAAAATAGTAATATATATACTTTGCCTAAATAGACGTTGAATTGAACTAAAATTCAGACTAACATGAAATTGTGTGGACTTCTAATATCAATCCACTTTGGCTTTCTATACGTAAAACAAATAACTACAAAATTAGCTTCTTTCTCAAAGAGTGCTAAGTTCATCATTCCAAAGGGTTAGGAATATTGAGCTTTGGCACTAAATTTTTGCAAAGCAGCTGTACTCTATTCATCAGTCTGCCTAAAATATGCTAAGAGATCTCTTGCCATTGGTATATGAAAACAAGATCTATTATTTATATTTTATTGTTCTGGCTTTAATCTTTTATGTCACATTGACAATGTGATCTCACCCTGTTGGTTGTTACGAAGTTTGCTTATCTTAATTTATACAGTTTGCAGTTCAAAATATAACTCGGATGATATGGTGAATTGACTTTATTATTGCAGGTTCTAGTTAGTGTGATGGTTGGACTGAATATTATAAGTGAAGAAACTGATGGAGGTTCTGATCAAAAATTTCTAACGAGCTATTGACCTCCATGCAAAAGTTGACAATTACAAGGTTTATCAAGGGAAAGGTTTATCAGGGGAGGGGATCTTTGATCAATAAATAAAAGTCATAATAAACGTTCATGGTGTGAATATATTAGCTAAACAGTTGCATCTTTGACATTTTCATAAGCTGCATAAAATCAACTTCTTCTTTTTGTTTTTTGTAATAAGAGTTAGTCGAGTTTATTGCTATATATCTCTAATATCTATTATGTCACTTTAACGACCCGACCGGTTGTTTCGAGAGTTATAGCCATGTTTTCCCCATTTCTGCTTCTTTTTGTGCTTTTCAACTATATTATTATTATATATCGGGTTAGTTGGTTCGTGTCCGGAGTGATTTCGGAATGAATTGAGATTAATCTCTTATTTAGAATATTAAGTTGGAAAAGTCAACCGGATGTTGACTTATGTGTAAACGATCTCGGATTTGAATTTTGATGGTTCTGTTAGCTCCGTTAGGTGATTTTAGACTTAAGAGTGCATTCGGAATGTGATTTGGAGGTCCGTAGTGGAATTAGGCTTGAATTGGCGAAAGTTGCAAATTTGGCGATTTCGGTTGGCAGTTGAAAATTTGACATCGGGGTCGAAATGGATTTTTGGAAGTTAGAGTAGGTCCGTGGTGTCATTTGTGACGTGTGTGTAAAATTTGAGGTCATTCGGACGTGGTTTGGTTGGTTTCGGCATCGGTTGTCGAATTTGATAGTTTAGAAGTTCTTAGGCATGAATCCGAGGGTAATTTGGTGTTTTGATGTTGTTTTGAGTGATTCGAAGGCTTGACTAAGTTCGTATGTTGATATTTGACTTGTTGGTATGTTTGGTTGAGGTCCCGAGGAGCTCGGGATGATTCCGGATGGCTAACGGGAGGTTTGAAATTTGAAAATGTAGCTGAACTGTTGCTGCTGGTGTTTTTCCGCACCTACGGAGGTGGAGCCGCAGGTGCGAGGTTGCAGGTGCGCTTGGGGAGCCGCAGATGTGGACAAAGAGGACCTGGTCTGGAACCGCAGGTGCGTAAAAGTGGTCGCATCTGCGGGCGCGCAGATGCGAGGGTGAGTCGTAGATGCGGAAGTGAGGAGATTGGCCTATTTCCGCAGAAGCGGAGGGAGATGCGTAGGTGCACAACCGCAGGTGCGAGAGGTTGGCCGTAGATACGGAACCTGGAGTATTAAGTGAGTTCCGCACATGCGATGGAAATTCTGCACGTGCGGTATCGCAGAAGCGAAAAAGGGACCGCAGGTGCGGTTTCGCTTGGCAGAAGGTATAAAAGGGGGACTTCGTGATTTTTGCTCATTTCCACCATTTTCAATTCGGACTTTGGAGCTTTTGGGCTGATTTTTGAAGGGGATTCAAGTATATTCATTGAGGTAAGTTACTTGAGCGCTATTATCATTAGCTATGGTATTTTTTCGTTGTTTTCCCACCTAATTAGTAGGATTTTTGAAGTGAAATAAGGGGTTAGGGCTTAGGATTTTGGAGAGAGTAATTTGGGGATTTGAGGGACCAAATGAGGTCGGATTTTGATGAATTTAGTATGAGTAGACTTGTGAGTGAATGTGCTTTCGGGTTTTGTAACTTTTGTCGGATTTCGGGATGTGGTCCCGGGGGCCAGGTTTGAATGAATTTCGGGATTTGGCCTATAATTTGGTATTTTTTCTTGTGGGATTTATTCCTTTGGCTCATATTGAACGTATTTTTATTGCTTGTGACTAGATTCAGGTCATTTGGAGGCCGGTTCGAGAGGAAAGAGCATTCCAGAGTAGGAGTTCTACGCTGTTGAGGTAAGTAATAGTTTTAAATCTGGTCTTGAGGGTATGAAACTCGGAGTTCGGTATAATGTGACTGTTTGGAGGTGGCACATATGCTAGGTGATGGGAGTATGGGGGTACGCCGTGAGGGATTGAGACTTGGTCCGTCTCGAGAGACTGTGAAGTCTAATAGCCTTTATTTGTATTTATATGCATTCATGTCTACTAGAACTTGACTGTCTTTCATGTTAGAAATCATGCTTATGCTATATTCCTACTCATGGTAGTTATATTCAGTCATAGTGATTCTTGTACATGTTTACCTCAGTCTCTGCTATTTTCCCTGATGATATACTATAACACTTTGATTTGGGCTATTTTCCATTACTTTATTGAGAGCTATGAGACTAGAGAGGTTCATGACTGAGTAAGGCCGAGGGCCTGTTTGTGAGGTATTGTACATTAGTACGTGAGTTATCTATGCAGATTCTAATGTGATACGGTGGCACGTGAGTTCGTGCAGGCCTTGATATCATATTATAGCACGTGAGTTGTCCGTGCAGCACGTGAGTTGTCCGTACGGATTATAGCGCTTGGCCTGTAGGAGCCCCTCATGAGTCTGAACACCTCCAGTGAACGCAGGTACCTATTGAGCGTGTGCATTGAGGGCTGAGAGTTGAGTGTCGAGTTATTGAGGGTTTGAGTGACAGTGTCTGTGAGGTTTCATCTATTTCACTTTGTTGCTGCATTTAGCTGAAAATTGTCTGGCTGGAATTGGTAATTATGCAACTGATCTTTTACTCATGTTTACTCTTAACTGTGAAAATTATCAACTGAATTGTTCTATATAGATCGTCACTATTTCTCGATTCCTTATTTATTTCTATTACTTGGTGAGTTGGTTGTACTCATACTATACCTTGAACTACATATGCAGATCCAGGTGTGTCTGAGCATGGAGATTATTGAGTCCAGGCCTGTTTGAGTTTCGGAGACTACAAGGTAGCTGCCAGAATCCGCAAGACCTTGTTACTCCTTCCACATTTCTTTCCATTTTGTACTGATATTTAGACATTGGCTATAATAGTTTTAAATACGTAGACGCTCATGACATAGTGACACCCTGATGTCAGGTTATTTTTTTTTCTGCCCTTATATTTTATTTGGGTTTTACCCTTTATTTATGAGAAACTTCGATTATTTTAAATGTCTTAATTCATTTCTGTTAAATTTTGAAAATGATTTGGAAAGGTCGGCTTGCCTAGTACCACGATAGGCGCCATCACAACGGGTTAGGTTTTGGGTCATGACAAGTTGGTATTAGAGCCTAGGTTACATAGGTCTCATGAATCATGAGCGGGTTAGTAGAGTTTTGCGGATTGGTACAGAGATGTCTGTACTTATCTTTGAGAGGCTGCAGAGCCCTTAGGAAAATTTCACATTCTTGGATTCTTGTCATGCGAATCTGTCTATTCTGGTAACTAAACACCTGTTGTTTCATTCTCTCAGAGATGGTGAGGACTCGTGCTACCAGTTAGGAGGGCCAGCCACTAGTACTACCAGCCAGGGCAACGAGAGGCCGAGGCCGCAGTAGAGACCATGGTAGGGGCAGAGGTGCAGCCCGCACAGCAGCTGGGGCAGTACCTGCAGATCCACCAGTTGTCCCAGATTAGGACCAGATTCCAGTTATTGATGCACCAGCTCAGGCACCACATGTGCATATTGTGATTCCAGTCCTTCAGGAAGCCTTAGCTCAGATTCTGACTGCGTGTACTAGTCTTGCTCAGGTGGTCTCTGTTCCGGCCGCCGCAGCCACTTCTCAGGCTGGGGAAGGTGCTCAGACTCCCGCTGCCCGCACACCAGAGCAGGCGGTACAGGGATTCCAGACACCGGGGGCACCACCAGCCCAGCCGGTTGCAGCTGCTCAAGATTATATGGTTCCTGCTATGCCTGAGGATGACCAACGTAGATTGGAGAGGTTTGGGAGACTTCAGCCTCCACCTTTCAGTGGCACAGAGAGGATGCCCAGGACTTCTTGGACAGGTGTCAGAGGATACTCCATACAGCTGGTATTCTAAAGACTTGTGGGGTCTCATTCACTACCTTTCAGTTTTCTGGGGCTGCACTCAGATGGTGGGAGACTTACAAGAGGCATATGCCTATTGGCGTAGCACCCCTTACTTGGCAGCAATTCTCCGTGGTCTTTTTGGAGAAGTTCATGCCTCAGTCCCATAGAGAGGAGCTGCGCAGACAGTTTGAGAAGCTTCTCTAGGGTGATATATCTGTGACGCAGTATGAGATACGATTCTCGGAGTTGGGCCGTCATGCTATCTAGTTGGTTCCCACAGACAGGGAGAGGATCATGAGGTTTATAGATGGTCTCACTTTTCAGCTACGGTTACTTATGACTAGAGAAAGGGTGTCTGGTGCTACCTTTGATGAGGTTGTCGACATTGCTCAGCAGATTGAGATGGTTCGCGATCAGGAGAGGATTGAGAGGGAGGCCAAGAGGCCTCGTGGTCAGGGTGGATTCAGCGGTGCTCCTTCTAGGGGTCAGTTCCAGCACGGTAGAGTTCATCATTTCAGACAGGCTCAGATAACTCGGCCATTTCACCGTGGTGCATCATCTGGCCATGGTTCTCACAGTCATTAGCAGGGTCAGTCATCATTCAGTGCAATACCAGCGCAAAGTTCTCATCATGCCCCGTTTGCTCAGATATCCCCGAGTAGTTCTTTCAGGCATCAAGAGCAGCAGTTTCGTCAGAGGAGGGGTTGTTTCGAGTGCGGAGATTTTGGTCACATTATGAGAGATTGCCCTAGGCTATTGAGTAGGACTCCACAGTGGAGTACTCGACCGATGGCACCAGCACCAGTTCCTCCACCACCCGCCCAGCCAGCTAAGGGTGGAGCTCAGCCAGCCAGGGGTAGAGCTCAGCCAGCTAAGGGTAGAGCCCATTCAGCTAGGGGTCTCCCGAGAGGGGGAGACAGATCAGGGGGTGGTCAGGCCCGTTTCTATGCCCTCCCTGCCAAACCAGATACTATTGCTTCAGATGCTGTGATTACAGGTATTGTCTCAGTTTGTCACAGAGATGCCTCTATATTATTTGACCCTGGTTCCACGTATTCATATGTTTCCTCGTATTTTGCCCATTTTCTGGATATGCCCCGTGAGTCTTTAGTTTCATCTGTTCATGTATCTACTTTTGTGGGTGATATTATTATTGTGGACCGTGTATATCGGTCATGTGTGGTAACTATTGGGGGTCTGGAGACCC